CAGACCCCGCTGGCGCCGGAGCTTATGGGGTCGCCGTTGTTTGAACAGACAGCTGTTTGCACAAGCCAGCATCCCTCTCTCCCAAGACGAGGTTTAGAAGACGCAGAGACGTTAGAGGAAGAAAGGAAGGTGGGGGGGGGGGGGTTAAGCGAGGGAGGGGGGTGGGGGATAGTTGCTGACTTTAAGAAGTTCCGATATTATTATTTTTGGCGTGGCACCACCTCGAACCCACAAAACTGAACCGACGCGCGTGCAACAGACTCATCGGCACCCCCGGTGCGTCACCGTCCTCTCTGCACCCACGACGAGACGGGTCCACCGCCTGATCGAGGCTTGAGTTAACCGCTCGCCCAGCCAGGGAGGTATCATCATCATCGTTGTTGTTGTTGTTCTACGATGCTTGTCGTATAGCTCACTCTTCGCCGGGAGTTTGTTGCGAGCGTAGTACCTACGCTGAACTTCTTTCGCACCGCACGTAGCCAGCCGTCGTGTTAATCGGAGTTTTTTTTTCTTCCTTCAGCACCGAGACAGACGACGACGACGATCGCACTCCCAACTTCTTCTGGTGCCGAGCCGGAGGGGAGGGGAGAGAAAAACTCACTTCGTGTGGGGAGAGATTCTCGAGGGAATTCAGTCGCTCAAGTTGCTCGCAGCAAGCAACCCATTGATTGCAGCCGTGCCGACCACCACCACAACAACAACACCACCACCACAACAACAACACCACCACAACAACAACACCACCACCACAACACCACCACCACAACAACACCACCACCACCACAACACCACAACCACCAACACAACAACAACAACACCACGCGGTCACAACCTGCAACCTCCTGTCGGAGACCCATATACCGCACAGCTCCACCGTGCGCGATCGTCTCGCGCGGGGTGATGGACTTTGGTGATGGACTTTGGTGATGTTTGTGAACACGAGTTGGGGGTGGAAGGGGGGGCGATGTGGAGATTGGGGGTGGAGGGGGCACGCTCCTGGCTTGGCCCTCCGATGTTCACTCGGCGTTTCGGAGACGGCGCCGCCGTTAAAATTGTCCCGATTGGCAAGTTTGGCTCCGGAAAGTAAGACGCGCTCCTAACAAAACATGTATCGGGTGCCATTGAAGCTCATTCAAAAAGGATGTGCTGCTGTGAAGAAGGGCCATTGCCCGAAACGTCGCCTATTATCTATATTGTTTTTCGCCTTTTTCAGGCCACAGCGATATCGACGAAGGTGGCGAGTTTGTTTTTGCCGCTGCCATCGCCAGCATCGCTAAAGAATCGATATAAATAATTGATACAAATCTGGTCACACGCTCCTTCCGAATGATAAGACGCACCATCTGAGCGTTTGCTTTTAAACACAGGGGAGGAGGGGGGGGTGCAAAAGCGTCTCGTAATCCTGAGAATGCGGCTGTAACGATTGCAGTGATGTCGGCGCATCGGGTTATACACACGCACACACAATGCACTTACGCTACGTATAGGTATAGTTCTACACACACTTTCTACCGAGTCGAACGGACATTTCTCAGCGTCTTAGCAGATGAAAGGATCGTCACGCCGGCAATTTCAATTCACCGATTGGTCTTTTCCAGGATGCATCGTCAGTGGTCCGGGATCGAACCCATGGTGCATTTGCGATCCAGGCGAGGGAGATGACATCTCCCTCGAGATGACATCTCCCTCGTCACCGCGGCTCCCTGGACGCCTTCACACAACGACAGTGACTTTTTCTTGCATCGTCATCATCTTTATATTACAATAATTTAACAAAATTAAATCTAGCCCCCGACTAACGTTAGAGGTGAAGATATCACCAATGTACAGGATGTGCGCGTAGGTCTAAGCAAACGACCAAATACGATGTCGTCAATAATTTATTCCGATTCACCCCTCTAATATAACTCCCGTCAGTAGTTTGTATATATATACAGTACATCAATGTAAGCGCATATTAAACAGTGGTGACAAACAGAACGTCGGTTGGCACGCATGTTAAACATCGGTACGTTAGCACATGACGAATGCGATGTATGTGTCGTTGAAGCTTAATTTAATAAACAGTTTCAGGGGCCGCCCAAACCCAACTGCCCCCCCCCCCCTCTCGTATTATTTTCCGGAGCTCAGGCCCTGGAAAGCTCCAATTGTCTAAATGGAACCAATGGTGCGGTTGATGAAATGGGATTAGATAATTACTCTGGAATCATAATACCACATGATGTGGTTGCAAGGCGAGTTGTGTGTTTTTTTTGTATTACTTTAAATGGTTGATGGTGGTTAGTAAAATGCGTGGACACTCGCCAGGTGTGTGGGTATGTGTGTGTGTTGTTTGTGTGGAGCGGTAGTGTAGCGGTTAGCGCGCTGCGCTATGAACCTGGCGACCCGGGTTCGATTTCCGCTCACGGCCAACACCAGTGACGATTATTTGAAACGGTCCTGGGCCTCCCCTAGGTTGACTCAACCTCAAATGAGTACCTGGTGCGGTGTGTAAACATCGGCACTGGGGAGACAAAGGCGGCCGGGCGTGGTGTTGGCCACCCACCCCCTCGTGTGCCGTGCCGGCCTTCATAGGTGCTCGCGAACAGCACTTGCCCCAACAGTCTGTTAAGGTTATACGGGGGATCTTTGTGTTTGGAGTATTGTTTTCATTAATAGGGCGGTTGTGCGAAAAGACCCAAAATGCATCGTACAAGCTTGCAATGTCCACACTGCGTAGAGAGACATAGGATACACCCTCTCTAGAAGTTGTCGTTCGACAGCTGTGTTTGTTTATTGTTTGTTTTTTAAAGAACATAACATGCAATATAGTTAACCTTCGTGCAAGATGTCAGTAAAACATGACAGCTTATATTATGAGACAGCTCAAAACTCATATAATCATAACATTGTCTTGCGCGTTAGAATTCGAGAAACAGAACCGAAAACAAATCAGGTAAACTATTTACAATTGTATGGTAAATATATTACAATAACTTACTTTTTTTTTCTTTCTCTCTTGGTAAAAAGCAAAACGCCCCTCCTTAAATATACAACTATTTAATGTATCAGCGGCCTGCTGCTTTCAGCCTTCCGAGAGCGTGCTCGTGAGACGTCTAAGTCCACCTTTGACCTCCTTAATAGCAATTGTTGATCGTCTGACACACGACGCAAGCCGACGAGGCACAACATAACACATGCCCCCTCCCCCCCCCCCCACGAAGAACGATGAATTAACACGGCCCGTGACACCTCACCAGGGGGGGGGGGTCACAGTGTGGTCCACCCCGATTCATTATATCCCAGGCGGGTCATTGTTTCTATCGTCTCATCGGGTCAACCGGTCATCTCGTAGACCACGCGAGCATGCACACACACACATGCGCACGTGCACGCGGGGAGACCTCTTGGACCCACCATTAGCCTCACTTCGAAATTGTAGAAAGCAAAAGATGCCTCCTGTCCATGGCAAGTGCCGTTTGCGAGTAGCACCCTGATGAAGGGCGGCGCGGCGCACACGAACGCGTGGTGAGGCCAAAACCACGGCACGCCCGTCCGCCTTTGTCTCCGCAGTGGCGGCGATGTTTACACACCGCACCAGGTACCACTGTTGAGGCCGAGTCGGCCTCTGGGGGAGGCCCACGATCATCGGTCCAGATTATCGTCACCGATGTTGGTGGCCGCGGGCGGGTATCGAATTTCAACGGCCGGGGTTGTAGCGCAGCGCGCTAACCACTGCGCCACCGCTCCACCGAAATTCGATTGCGCGCGCGACTACGCGTATCGCTCGCCTGTCGCTCACGTGCCGATGGAAGCTTCGTCTGTGTCAATCCCATCCACGTGGCGCGCCACGTCCAATTATTACCGCGCGGGTCTCAGTTCAATTCGCATAATTGGACACGTGTGTTCAAGCGCTATGTACACGCACGCGCACACATGCACAGGTAATGTGTATTTATATCGATACAGTTGCTTTAAAGCGTGCTACAGGACGTCGAGTAGTAAGTAGTAGACTAGCCCGAATCACCCAAATGTATGTAATTGATCATATTTCACAAGTCTATTGTGGGAAATGAATTAGGCCAATTTGCACTTTTACCACGACACAATTAAATAGTGTTAATATATACACACACACATACATACAGAGCGGTCGGCATGTCACAGCTGTCGCATAGCGTTCTGTTCTCGCAGCCCACACCGGTGACACACGCACACACATAATAAATAAACACAACCAACAACAACAACAATCATAATAACAATAAAACAAGCCACATGAATTGCGGTGAACGTTGCGAAATGCCCGACTGCAGGCCGCGTGTTTTCATCGCGAGTTCGCGGCCCGCTATCGAACGGCCAAATTGGTTACGCGCGAGCGTTCCTTCCACACTCGGTGGTTCTTCACCTTCACTGCAGCCCTTGCAACCCCCCTCACCCCCCCCCCCCCCTTTGGTTATCAATCGTAATTTTAAAAATAAAAAAATCACGTTAATACATTGGGTTTGATGAAACAAAGTAAGTTGTACGTACGTGCCCCCGGTGCTTAATTTGTCTTTACGATTATTTACCTTTAAAAAAAAAAAAATCTAATCTGGCCACGTCTCGCACCCCCAGAAAGGTCATCCCGCATCCTCAGGGGGTGCGCGCACCCCAGGCTAAGAGAATCGCGCAACTTGAGCACGGGGCACCGAAACAATGCGGCCGCGTCGTCTTGCGGACGCTCAGCAGCGCGAGCGAGCCGGGTCTGATGGCACGTGACGACAATGCGGCCCCTTTCAATTGAACGCTGCGATTTTACATTTGCCGCTGTGTCGCGCGGCTCTCTCCAACGTGGGAGGGTGTTTGTGTTGTGTTCTCTAGGTGTGTAACCACGCGGCGTTGTTTGCAATGATGATGTCCGACGTTTCGCGTCGGCGTGGAGGAACTGAAGCCACCTTACCCCCCCCCCCCCCACACACACACCACCCCTCCCAGGCGCGTGCAGCGAAACGTCGGACATCACGCCGAAAACACCCGCACGGTAACACCGAAAACACCTCGCAGAGCCGCGTGTTGTTTTAGCGTAGTTCTACTTTCCGGTTTTAGGCCTATGACTTAACATGCAGATAATGATGCCGATGACGATGTATCTCTCACCGCTTAACAGACACTATTAGTATTATATTCACACACAGTTGAATGCCTGGGGAGAACAAGGGGTCGGGTGGGCAAGTAGAACAAAAATTTGTCACAATGATAATTATCATCATCATCACCACCAACCAACCACCACCATCATCATGATGCCAATGAACACAATCCCACCGGAATATTCCGGATATCTTCAGAGCTTGCAATCTAAGCAGGCTTGTGCCTGGCCACTGCTTGGGACGGGCGCCTACCGAGTCAACCGAGGTCAGTGCAGAACACATCCATTGTTGCACTGCACATCTATGGTTCCTACGTGTGCGCGCTCCCTAAAAAAACCCCTTCACCAGCGTGGTGAATTATGGTCGAATAACTCTCAACATTGTTAATGCTCCACCGCCTTCCGACAATCCGCGCTGACCGGTGTGGTGAAGTATGGTTAAATGACCCCCACGTGGAGGGGGTGGTCTTGATCCACCAGTTCATTGTCCAAAATGTGGGAGCTTGCATGTGCACAACAGCAATCAAATAGCAGCAGCATTGTTGCATCGAGCACATAGCCGAGCGGTGGGTGAGTGTGCTGGGTCAGTGTTGGTGAAGAGGAGGAGGAGGAGAGTTTGAACGGTTTGCATCTCACCGGAAACAAACAAACAACAGCAGCAGCAGCAACAACACAACAACGAAAACACCAAGAGGATGGCGCTTGAACGTCAAGCGGACAGAAGAGTCACCACGCGCTACCAAAGAGGAGGTTGGGACTAGCCATTGCGACGCTGAAATCGGGCGTCTGTCCCACGATCTGCGCCATGGCGCCCACGGGAGTGTGCGCCAGGGAGGGGGGGCTCGGCGAGAGCTCCGACGCATCCGCCGGGCTCGCCTGCAGCGACTGATGGTGGTGCTGCTGCTGCTGGTGCTGATGGTGATGCTGCTGATGATGCTGCTGCTGCTGATGATGCTGCTGCTGGTGGTGGTGATGGTGCAGAGCCGCTTGGTGGATCTGTAGCGAGCCGCCGCCCAAAAGGCTCCCGCCCGAAGACGAGGAGGAGGAGGTGGTAGAGATGATGTGGTGGGAGGATGACGACACAGCGGATGAGGCCGCGGATGACGTTACCGCTGCTGCCAACGCCGCTGCCGCCGCCGCCGCTGCTGCTGATGACAACGACGACGACGAAGAGGACGAGGATGATGAAGAGGTGCTAACCGTGGACGATGAAGACGACGCGCATCCGACGGGGTGATGGTGGTGATGGTGGTGGTGCCCGCCACCGCCGCCGCTGTTCACGGGGCACGGCTTCCCGTCCTTCACCAACACCGGCACGGCAACTCGCCGTGGCGACTGCTGCTGCTGCTGCTGCGACACTCCGCTTGAGTCCTGCTGCAACTGCTGCGCCGCCTTGTCCTTGGCCTGCCGCTTCATCTTGTAGCGGTGGTTCTGGAACCAGATCTTGACCTGCGTCGGGGTGAGGTGGATCATGCTGGCCAGGTGCTCGCGCTCGGGCGCCGACAGGTACTTCTGCTGCTTGAAGCGGCGCTCCAGCTCGTAGACCTGCGCCTGCGAGAACAGCACCCGACGCTTGCGACGTGGGGCCGAATGCAGGGCGCCCAGGCTGGGCTTGGATGCGTCCGTGAGGCCCCCGAGGGCGCTCATCCCAGCCATGTTCATGCCCGAAGAGGAGCCGTGCATGAAGCGGGTGACTGCACGCGGGCGGGAGGGAGGGGAGGTGGGTGGTGGTGTTAGAACGCACGCGTTAGTGCAGGACGCGGTGAGTGCTCATGGCAAGCGGTGGTTGCGGTGCACAGAAGATTACAGCATTGCAAGCGGTGCCGAGGCTGTCATTGTCACCGACGCGATGATTGATGCCCGTGCCGTTAGTCATCAGCGAGCACAGATGTCGCCACTAGTATTATCATCAACAATAACACAGCCACCGCCATCAACAACGATCCTTCCGATCAGCCTTAACAGACTTTTGGGGCAAGTGTCTGTCAGCGAGCCCCTCTCAGCAACAACACAGCCAACACCACAAATAACAACGTCCAGAACACAGCCACCACCGACATCAATAACACAGCCACCGTCACAAAAACCGACATCAACAACACAGCCACTAACAACATCAACAACACAAGAGCCACCACTAGCAAGAACGACGGCACAACCACCACCAACAATTGCGACAATGACACAAATACCATCGCAGCCATCACCACCAATATCAACATCACCACAAACAACACCAACACAGCCGTCACTATCAATACTGTCCCTTTTACAATCATCATCATCAATACAACCATCACATCCACAATACACAAACGCAATCACTGTCACTACCACCATCAACCATCATCACCACCAACATCACAATGAAGAGCGTCACCTCTTAAATGCCAAAACTACCAACAACGACATCATCATCATTAACACAGCCACCAATATTCACAAACGCAACTAACACCACCTGCTACCAAGACGAAATTACCAGCAACAGGATCATCATGGACACGATCATCATCATAAATCACTGCCATTGTTAGGACCAATCGTGACCACCAATACAGTCAATATCGCCAACACAATCATCACCACCACCACGATCACTACCAACACGAAGAGTCATGACCATCAACGCGAACAGTACAGCCGGCACAATCGTCATCACCATCATTCCACCATGACTAGCACCACCACGAGCAACACCAACATACCCCTACCATCATCAAAATCATCACTTACGTCAGCATTAATACCATCAGCATCACCACCACCAATCACTCCCATCACCCCATATTATTCCACAATTACTATCATAACTCACCGACATGTTTCGGACCACAACCACCATCAACCATAAATATACTCACTAAGATGATCGTCATCATCGTCATCACCACCACAACCAACAACAACAACGCTACCCTCACAAACACTGATGAACGCAAACATCATGGCTACAACTACCACGAATATATCATAACCCCGATACTCAACACCGGCATTGCATCGTGCAGAAGTATTTGATTAGAGTCGGCCAATATAACACTTTAATTTAAGTAATGATAGTAACAGCATCGCTACATTTTGAGAGTGCACACGTGCGGAATAAATGCGACGTTTATCCGACAAGAAATTAACGACGTTAAAAAATCTATGTTTTTCTAATAGAAGGCAGGGCTATAATTTGCGGGCACAAGGCAGACTTGGCGTGTGTGGCTATGCACAGCTTTTAATGAATGTTGTACGGGGAATGTGCGCGTGTGGAGCATTATCTCACATTGGTTAGAGTCAATATTTTTTTAAATTAAGTTCACCATACTTATTCTATTTCACCATTGATTATCCCACGAGATTTTCCGTGAGAAGCAATATCCTCAATGAATTACGGTGCTTATACTAGCGCCGCATGGAATCGCGCGCTCGCAGCGTTGAAATATTGACATCGTTTGTGTATATATGTGTACATGTTTGCGTGCGTAGAAATATCGACCAATTGTTGCTACGCGTTCATATCATGCGACTAATTAAAACGGATTTTGTTTGTTAATCTTAGAATAAGGAGGGGTGAGATTAAAACACAAAGCAAAGTAAATGCCACGGTAACAGTCCCTCGACGCAGATTTCCCTCGCTTTATGCGGGGTTCGGTTCGTGCGATTTCGCGCTGTAGTCCTAAGCGATTTCTACCCCAAATTCGCTACGTGCGAGTTGAATTCACTCTACACGCGGCCATGCGGTCGGAGCTGGGACAACATTGTGTGTGTACTGTATGTACTGTGTGTACTGTATGTACTGTGTGTGTACTCTGTGTGTACTATGTGTGTACTGTGTGTACTGTGTGTGCTGTATGTACTGTGTGTACTGTATGTGTGCTGTGTGTGTACTGTATGTGCTATATGTGTACGGTGTGTGTACGGTATGCACTGTATGTACTGTGTGTACTGTGTGTACTGTATGTACCACGTGTGTATTGTGTGTGTACTGTATGTACAATGTGTGTACTGTATGTACAATGTGTGTACTGTGTGTGTACTGTATGTACTGTGTGTACTGTATGTTTATTGTGTGTGTACTGTGTATGTACTGTGTATACTGTGTGTACTGTGTGTGTGCTGTGTATGTACTGTATGTACTGTGTGTGTACTGTGTGTACTGTATGTACCATGTGTGTACTGTGTGTACTGTATGTACCATGCGTGTACTGTATGTGTACTGCATGTATTGTGTGTACTGTATGTGTACTGTATGCACTATTTGTGTACTGCATGTACTGTGTGTGTACTGTGCGTGCACTGTGTGTGTACTGTATGTGAAATGTATGTACTATTAGTGTACTGTGTGTGCTATGTGTGTACTGTGTGTGTACCGTACGTACTATGTGTGTACTGTGTGTACTGTATGCACTATTTGTGTACTGTATGTACTATGTGTGTACTGTGTGTGTACTGTGTGTACTATGTGTGTACTGTGTGTACTGTATATACTATGTGTGAACTATGTGTGTACTGTGCGTACTGTATGTACTATTTGTGTACTGTATGTACTATGTGTGTACTGTGTATGTACTGTGTGTACTGAGTATGTAGTGTGTGTACTGTGTGTGCTGTGTGCGCTACTCGGCAGGCTGCTGTCTCCTCGTGCGGTTTCGCTTTGTGCGCCCTTTTTTTTTGGAACGCATCCACCACGATTACATCTACTACTACATCTACTACTACATCTACTAGAGCTACTACATCTACTACGACAACTACTACATTTACTACCACTACACCTACTATTACTACACCTACTAATACATCGAATACAACTGCTAAATCTACTACTAACCGCGCACAGAGAGGGAGAACCTGTACATCTATTCCACCGTTCTCCCCATTGTGCTCACCTCGCTTCTGCTTCGCACAGCGTCCGTCGCGTTTGATAGACGCTAGATAGATCCTGATTGCGCTGATCAACATATGTTACCCAGGTGAAATATACATTTCGTTAATTAACGGCCATTGGAGCATGTTTCATAATTAACAGGTGAGTGTAACACTGCAAAACTCCTTAATAAATACATCCACAACTAAAATATGTTTGTATATAGCCAACAATAGAACGCAATCATTGCGCGCGCGATAAAAATGTATTTTGGTACGTATAGTTACGATTTTATGTTCTATTAGTAAATATAACTTTTCATTAATTGCCTATACTGTATTTGGTTGTGTTAAACTTTGATAGCGATGGTTGTGATGGTGGTAATGGTTGTGTTAAATCTTGATAGCGATGGTTGTGATGGTGGTAATGGTTGTGTTAAATCTTGATAGCGATGATTGAGATGGTGGTAATGGTTGTGTTAAATCTCGATGGCGATGGTTGTGATGGTGGTAATCGTTGTGTTAAATCTCGATAGCGATGATTGTGATGGTGGTAATGGTTGTGTTTAATCTTGATAGCGATGATTGCGATGGTGCTAATAGTTGTGTTAAATCTTGACAGCGATGATTGCGCTGGTGCTAATAGTTGTGTTAAATCTTGACAGCGATGATTGCGATGGTGGTAATTGTTGTGTAGGAGGTGGTGGCAGTGACGATGCGAGCAATTGGTGACAATTGCTGTTTTATTGCACCGATGGCAGTCACTGATAGTCGTGATGCCGCTTTTGGTCGTGATGATGACGACGATTTTAATGATGATGATAATGACGGCGCTGATGATGATGCCGTCCTTGTTAATATTCGCGTAGCTGTTGGCAGTCGCGGCGGTAGTACGCGGCAGCAGGTATTGTCTGTGTCGGTGCTGCGGTTTCTGACCGCAGCGAAATCGCCGCTGGTCTATTGGACGCGCTTGGCGCGAGATTTCATCCTCCGATTCCTCATCTCGGCTCACACGGCGTCGTCCCCGCAGCTACGCGTGTGCGTTGAACTTCTTTCGCACCGTACGCAGCCAACCGTGCTCGTCGGGAGGTGCGGGGAGCAGCACAATAAACTCAACGCAAACAAAAAAAAACACCGGTCTCTAAAGAAATGAGTTTTCAATCGAGATGATTATTCAGACGCTGTCTTTCCGACAGACCTGTTCTTCACCTGAGGACGGTTGCTTGCGTTGTGGCCGACACGTCGTGAGAATTGTATTATTTTATTATGTTTATTTTTTATTATTTTATTATCTCCCTTCTACGTGATGACTTTACCGAAAGAACCAAGAAGATGAATCCCTGCAGTCACGAAAGCTTTAACTCGAGATGATAATATTGTATGTTTTTTTTTTAAGTGCGTAAAACAGCTCCGGTGACGAGAGAGACGTCTTACTTGTAGAAAACCTCGGGTCTTGACTCGCTCCGTACCAGCCGGCGGCCGTGGCGGTCGAGCGATGGACTCCGTCCTGGTAGGAGGGAAGATCCGTCGCCAATGCCCCCAGGCCCCCGAGGCTCCCGTTGCAGTAGCCGCCGACTGCCGCGGCAGCTGCGGCTGCGGCCGCGTGCGACAACTGCGGGACCCCGTGCGACATGGTCGCGTAGGGCGTCGTGACCGCCGACACGCCGTGACCGACCATGTGCTGCTGGGCGCTGGGCTGATGCTGCTGCTGCTGCTGCTGTTGTTGCTGCGTGTGCTGCTGCTGTTGTTGTTGTTGTTGTTGCTGATGCTGCTGTTGCTGCTGCTGGTGGTGGTGCTGGTGGTGGTGGTGGTGAGGGTGGTGGTGCTGGCTGACCTGCACAGCGGAGCGGTAAGCCGAACACATGGTGGAGCCCATCGCGGCAGCAATGTCCATGTCCACTTTCTTGAAACTCTCCTCGATGGGGCTCAGGATGTCGGTGACCGAAAAGGGCGTCGTGTGCTTGGGGCTCATGGACATGGCGCGGAAGCGGGTGGCGTAGATTCAACGTGATGATGGAATAAACAACATAAAACAACAACAACAAAAAAACACGGGAGGAAGAAACTAAAATAACAGTAAATAATAGCGAGGACCACGACGATTAACGATGAGGCTTGTACCGCTGCCACCACCGATAACAACAGCAGCAGCAATGACAGCAAGCACCACGAGCCCGCTTCAACTCTCCACTCTGACCACTTCTCGTCCTCACGAGGTTCTTCCCTCCCGCACGGGAGGGGGTGGAGGGGGGGGGAAGGCGGGGAAGAGGTGGATGAGAGGCAAGAGAGGTTAAAGGAGAGGAGTCGGGAGTCGCTTGAAACCGGGGCCGCGTTCGGGCTAAGTGTGCGCGCAGACCGACTCGCCGCCTCTCTTATCGCGGGGGGTTATGCGTGGAGGCAGTGGCGTTCGTTTAACGGGGGGGGGGGGGGACGAGGAGAGGAGGGGCGGAGCGAGCCACAAAAGCCCGGCCAGGACATCTCGCGCGGGTAATTGGTTAACGGGCTGTGCGCCGGGGGGCCCCGGGGGGGCTGCGAGCTTCAGCAGCACGGGTCACGGGACCCCCCCCCCCCTCCACGGCAGATGACCCTTTCCGGCAGGTAAGGGTGACGTCCGGAGGATTAATGCGCGCGCGCACGCGGAGCGCAATCATCCACGCGGACCGATCGGAGGGGACAACGTGCGCGCACCGCCGCAGATGCACGCGCGCACGCACGCGCACGCACGCGCACGCACACACTCACGCGCGCGCACGCACGCGCGCGTACGAACGCGCGCGCACGCACGCGCCGCGATTGAGCGCTGCGGTGGTGCGCGTGTGCCATGGCAGTCCTGTCGATCGAGTCACGTGCGCACGGACGCGTACATGTAAATTGTGTTGTGTGTGTGTATATATACACATACATTGAGAGATATGTATATACGCCTCTTCTATGAGTACCTGGTACGGTGTGTAAATATTAGCACTGCAGGGAGACAAAGGCGGACGGGCGTGGCGCTGGCTTTCTCTCGTGCGCCGTGCCCGCCTTAATAGGTGTTCACTAACAGGAATTCATCGCAGCAGCCTGTGCTTGCTATACGGTGGATCTTTGTCATTGTGCGTAGAGTACAGTAGTTTATCTATCATTATGCCGTTCCGGCCTTCATAGGCGCTCGCGAACAGCACCTTCCCCCAACAGCCTGCGTATGTAGGAATCTATGGGGAATCGTTGTCTTTATAGGCAACTGTGTGCGTGCGCACTTTCTTGGCGTGACGTATCAACAACAGCTGAATGATGATGATGATGATGTTCGTCAATTAATTGCATTTTAATAAAATTGTTCCTCGGCACTGTGCTCGATATAATAATTACTGTGACCTCATCAGGGTTGTGATGTTACTTTATTGAGACATTAAGGGGTATTAAAACGATCTTGGGCTGTGACTTCTGTCTGGGGGGAAAGTGTGTGGGTGGCGGGAGTTTTCTTTTTTTTTTTCAATTTAAGCGATTAAAACATCGGGCAAACTTACTCGCGTATTCGCAGACTCACCCACTGACTCTCAGTTGAAATTCGAAACCGTATCCTTTTCACCGCAATACGGCCCAGGCCAATATGCACAACGCTGGACGCAACGATAATTAACTCGCACACGAAATAATTTGGAGAGGTTTCTTTTGGTTTTGGGCGTTACATATGAGAGATATGGAAGAAGAAAAAAATGCTATTTTCCAGATATTAATCCACTATTGTTTGAGGGCTCTGCACATACCCGCGTCGGTCGTGCGGGGCCCTTTGACCATACTTCACCACGCTGGTTCAATGCGGATTGGTCAAGGGGGCACACGCGGCACCAGCCGTTCGAGATAAATAAAAACTTGCCACCACTGATTGCCACCGCTGGCGACGGGAGTCGAACCCGGTTTTTTATTCTTCTGAGTTCTATAGCGTAGCGTGCTAAGCACTGCGCCACCGCTCACCCACTTGTAAATATTCACGATGATTTGGTGCAGTTCAGTGCTAAAAAATATTCAGAATATCCGTTAATTTCTGTAGTTCTGATTTAACAGGTGTTTTTGTTTTTAAAGGACCCTGATAATGTAAGTCAAGCAAGTTATTGAGGCGTTGCTCATGCTCATGAACCAGTGGTGGCCATTCCACATTCCCATGGCAGGGGGCGAGTCTCTCCAACGGACCAACCACTGTTGACGTCTCCACAACGCGGTACTCGTTTTTTTTGTTTATCGACCCCAGAGGCAGGGGGTGATGGGAGTGATTCGTGGTCGCACACTAACACAGGACTGGATAAGTATTCTTCTTGTACTCGCTCCTGGATATCCTTATAATGTAAACATAGAACTTCAAACTAACCGCTGCATCATCATCATTATCATCATCGTTATCATCAACAGCCATGGTCACTCCACTGCTGGATGAAGAAGACCTCCCCAAGCCGCCGTCACCTCTGACGATCCCTCATGGCACCTACACAGGAGCCGAATCCATCGCTCCACGGGGGCCGTTGCGTCACGTTCACGACGGGAATATTTTTTCTGTGAGCGCAGGAAAGCACCGTAGAGTCCCTCGGAGTAGTGTTTCAGGAGGGCCCTACCTCTACGGCCAATTGATTTTTTGAATGTTGTTTGTAGATGTTTGTGTTTGTTTAAACGAACAATTATTACTGCGTACAGCTTGTTGTCAATCCACTGCTGGATGAAGGCCTCCCACACGACAAGTCGATCATTGGGGAGGAGCGGGGGGGGGGGGGGGGGGTGTCTGCTTGACCATACCTCACTACGCCGGTCAGTGCGGATTGTTGAAGGGTCGTGGACGAGTGGTTCGGATTGGGGGTCCAGGACCGGTCTCAGACTGGGGCTGAATCAAACTCAGGTCGCCGGGTGCAGAGTGCAGTATGCGCACAGCACTCCACCCCCGTGTTAGGAAGCACGGCACGTGCCGTGTCGTGTACTGTCAAGACCCGACACCGTGTCCGTCCTGTGCTCGCCGAGCTGAATTGGATTCCGGTTTGCCGAACGAAGACGTAATTGTTGTAAGGTCGCGGTCATTGCACGCACAAAGTGCCTTCCACAAATTGACCGCAATCACCTCGCCGACGTCGGCATCGAGCACAAACCATCACGGGAACTCGGCTCATCCTCGCAGCAGCGGCTTTGGCTGCCCGTCGAACAAACACGGTCACCGCATCGCGTGGCGCTTTCAAATGCGCTTCTGCGGACGTCTGGAACGTTCTTCCCTTCCGATTGTTGGGAAACCGCTGGCAGCTACGCGCTTTTGAATGTACATTGAAAACTAATTTTTTTAGAACTGTTTAGTTTGTTGTCCATCCTCCCGCACCTCTAATTATCACGGTTGGCTACGTACGGTGCGAAAGAAGTTGAACATACACACATACGTTCTCCATCGAACATAGTCCGTACTCAACACTTAACGCATTGCCATCTCTATGTAGGCCTAAGAACAAATGTGAATACTTCATGAAGCAATGTTTGAATGCACAATTAAGACTGACAGTGCTGCTGCTGTTGTTGTTGTTGTCGGTGTTGTTTTGTTAACGTGATTACTGACGCATGCCGGATGCTCAACTCAAATCGCAATGATCCTTTCATTGCGGCCATCAGCGCCACGAGTTATCGCGGGCGAGAACGCGATGCTCATTCACGCATGTATCATTAGCCACGGATGAAGGTCCTTCCCGAGCCATCGCCATCACTCACGATTCTGCATTGTTACAATTGACAATGTACGTAGAACTTCTTTCGCACTGTACGCAGCCAACCTGCGCATGCGCTGATCTCGTCCCTCAGTCTCCGTGTTGGACGTGCCCATTCTCCCCCCCCTTCCCTCGCCCCTCCACTTTTTCCCGTACTCCCCTACCCTTTCGCGAGCCCCAAGTAGCCCTCTATCGCTGCCACTCGTCCCTCAATACCTTTCTAGCACTCCGCCCGTCAAACTGCATCGTTCCATGGAGTTGTTAAACAACGTCAAGCGCCACGAGTTGAAGGCGCTCTTCATATATGTATTCAATCCGAGTAGATAATCGTTATAATATCACGCTAACTTCTGCACCGCAGTGCCAAGTGATTATAGAGTCTCCCAGGTCGAACTTGCATTTCGGGGGAAATGCTTTGACCATACTTCACCGCGCGAGTCAGTGCGGTGGTGTCGCACTGACTCATGACCACGACGCAGCCTTGGCGCAATGTCACGCAAGTGTCACGGGCGACACGCGCGTGCCTCCTACACACTCGGCAGAGATTGTTTAACGATCCTGCTGATGTGACCCCCACCCCCCTGCCCCCCCCCCCCCCCCCCAGAAAGGTCGAAATGAGTCTACGGTTCGCTTGCTGATGTCTGTATTCATGGCACGGTTCTAGAAAGCCACGAGGGCGATAATGAAGACATAATGGAGGGCTGTGCGTATCCGTTTCTTGCATCCAATCAATGGTTCGCATATTGTAGACGGAGCGCTCTTGCCAATAACATCGAGCAAGTTTAACTCGTAGGCTTTCGCGACCAATATAATCCACAAATATGGCTGATGATGCCAGTTGTAATTGCTGGGGGAACGTCGTACTCGAATTGTAAATGTTGTGGCCTGACTCTTCAACACACCGGTGGGCTGCACTGGAAAGTAACGAAATGGCTGGCACGTTTCGTTCAATTGACAAAACTTCATAATTGGCTGTGTCGGGGTGGGGGATTTTTACGCGATCTAACCCCTCCCCCCACCTCTATTATGACACATTTAACAACTCGGCAGCATTTGCTTTTAACAACAACCTTGTCATTGGTCCAGAAAGCCAATGGGCCTATGGGTTAAACGGACTTAGTGTGTCGGCTTTACAGAGACGGGGCAATGGTTCTCGTCGCAAGCGTTCACGCAGCGCGTGCTTTATTCCAACTCGAGCTGCCGGTGTGACGCACACGGCTCGCATCTCAACGCGTTGTGAACAGCGCTCAGTCCTAACGCGCCGTTCACTAACTCGTGCCTTGCGTGTGTGTTTGCGTGCCCGTGCCGATGTTGACAATGTTACTAGCGCGGACCGCTTTGTGTATATTAGGAGGGGGTAGATGCGGTGCCGTAGTGGTTGGCGCTCGCTTGTTCTGAACCCGTCATCCCGAGTTAGAATTCCGGGGCACGGCTAACATCGGTGAAGAGTGATGTCTGAACCGATCCCGCCCTGCCCCCTATCCAGTTTTATTTGATCAAGTTTAATGATTATCTATTTATATATTTATTTATTTATTTATGTAGCACTTGATACAAAGTTCAATCTATTTTTGTTCGATTCAATTAAACCGTCGGGACAATAATCCAGTCAACGAACGGTGCGTCTGACATTGCAATGGTCGCATTGCGTTTACTCAC